CAGTACTTAGCAGCAGATGCAGTGAATATTGTCGAATCCTTACAGCTGCATCGACTACAGGTCCCGGTTCAGGCCTCCTACACACATAAGCAATGCTTGCTGGCAGAGCAGCACTCCAAAGTCTTTCTTATTTTTAAATAACTGATTGCATTCTGACCGAGCTATATAAGTATTATTCCTGTCATATGTAATCTTACACACACACACTCCCCACTGAAAAAAATATATGTTCTTGTGGATTATTATCAGCTTTTGATTCTGCAAGAGCAACATCCCAAACACCTGGGTAGCTACAGTGTGGACACTGAGGGGTCTTCCTACATTTTCTCTGGCCTTCTGACTTCTTTCAAATATATCTTTACCAAAAAAAAAAAAAAAGAAAAAAAAGAAAAAAGCCTCAAAAATCTGGTGGATCTGAGTAGCCTTGTTCTGTGCTGATGCCAATACATAATTTATATATATATATGAAGTTCGTTTATATATATATATAAAGTTCACAGAACAGAGGTGAATTAGTCTTTGGTTTTGCAGTTCTACCGCTGCCAGTAGCATTAGAGCCCTGTGTTCCTAGCAGAGACATGCTTTGCAAGGAGGTGAAGATCTCACTGTATAACGTCCCTCCACCCGGCACTAATGCTGGTCCCAGCTGCAGCAGACACGTTTTACAGGTAGGCAAATGGAAGCTGGTAAGGATGGCAGCGCCTGTTGGAGGGGTAGGTAGGGAAAAGCAGGAAGGACGTGGACCCTCCAGCTACTTTGGGACAAGGTGTGATCCCAGGAAGCAATGCATCCGAAGAGCTCTAGGGGACAGTCCCGGCTGCCTGTCCAGCGCCCCGCTGCCTGCGCCGGTGAATCCCGTTACGTCCTATGGGAAGTCAGAGAGCCGACGGGGCAGTGGCGGGGGCTGTTCCCGGCCCCGCGGGACGCTCGGACTCGGGAGTATCATGAGCTCCAGCCAGCCCCGGAGCTCCGCGCGCGGCGCCGCGGGCTCAGGAGCGGCCCCGCCCCGGCCCGGCCCAGCTCCCCCCGTCGGCGGCTCATTGATGAGCAGCGGGCCTTTGAGGAAAGGGCGAGTGAGCAGAAACCGCTGCAAAGCCCCGATTTTTCAAGCAGCCGCACAGCCTGGGAACTTTGCATGTTTCGCCATTTTTCACATCCTGACTCATCTCTGTATCAAAGAACGTGTTCTCTGGAGCTCATCGGACACCCACCGCCCCTCCCGCCGCCCCGCCGGCAGCACCATCCACCGCCTGGCAGCAGCAAGGGGAACTATAGCAAAAATCCCCCGCGGCGCTGCAGCCGCAGCCAGGCGCCGGGCAGCTCCCGGCCCCCTTCCTCTCCGAGTCCCCTGGGATCCCACTGGGCAGCTCCCGTCCCTGCCACCGCCCCGAGTCCCCCGGGACCCCACGGCGTCCTTTCTATTTTATATTTCGAGCGAGGGGTTTCTCGCCCCCGAGGGCTGCTGCCGCTGCAGCCCGCACGCCCCGCAGGGAGCGGAGCAGGTGCACCCACGAAGGGCCACCCGCCCTGCGCCGGGAGGCACCGACGTGGCCCGGTGGTGGTCGCTGAGACCCCCGGGGGTGGCCGCACTGTCTTACGGCCGGACTCCCGTTCCCCACCCGCCGTGCACAGTGTATATGAGAGGGGGTGAACAAGGGCAAGATCTGCCCCCGTCCCGACGGCGTCCTCGATGAACGCCTCACCCCGCGGGGATGGGCGCTGCAGCCGCGCCGTCGAGGGGCCGCATCTTGGGGGCGGTGCGGAGCTAGCGCGGGGGGAGTCCCGCCGGGGCAGGGCGTGGCGTGGCGCTGCGGGAGGACCCCGTCGGGAGCGGCGGCCCGGTCCGCCCGCCCCGCGCCCCGCCGCCGCGGCACGGTCCCGCCGCGCGGCGCCAGGCGCCTGCGCACTGCAGGGGCGCCAGATTTGGCGGGAGGGGGAGTGTCCAAGGGCCCTTTGTTTGATGGCATCTCTGTTTACAGAGTTTATTCTTTAATCTCAACCTGTTTCCTCCTCCTCCTCCCGCGGCTCCTCGGCACTCCCGTGCGCGGCGGCGGAGCGCCTGGGCGCAGCCCGGCAGCAGGACGCAGCGGCGGGAGCGGGCTCCCCGTCCTCCTCTCCCAGCGGCCGGTGCGAGGATGGCTCGGAGACCCCGGCACAGGTAAACCCGCTGTCTGCGGGAGGGGGCGGCCGGTCCCGCTCCGCTCTGCGCCTGTCAGACGGTGCGCGGGAGAGGGAAGGCAGCAGAGGGAGAAGGGCTTCCCCGGCGGGCGGGGAGACGGACGGGCAGTACTCCGTCCTCCGCTCACCTGGGCTACTCCGCCTCCGGCCCCAAAGCGGAACGCGAAGCTCCCCCTCCTCCGAGGTGCCGGGGGTGCGGCACCCCAGAGGGATGAGCCGCAGACCCACCACCTGACGGGGCTCCCGGGCCAGGCGCCGCACGCCCGCCGGCCATCGTGGCGGGGCCGGGGCTCGCTGCCTGCGGGGGCCAACGCGGAGACCGGTGAGCTGCGCTGCCCGCAGCTGCACGGCAGGACAATGTCGGGCTGGCCCGCCAGCGGCAGGTAGAGCGTCCCGTCTCATTCATTCATTTTCATTCATTCATTTATTCATTCATTCATTTAATCTAGGAGGGGTGGGATGGCAGGTGGGCGGCGGGGGCTGGGCTCGCTCCCTCGTCTGCCTTTTCACCTTCACCGATCCTTGCAGCGGCGGTGCGTTCGCCCTTGGGAGCGGGGCTCTCCCCGGAGGGGTAGTTGCGCCCTGCCCTGCTGGGCTTTGTACCGCACACGCTGTTCGGCACATGCCGGAGCGCGGCGGCCTTGGCTGGCAGCGGCGGGGAACTCCGGGCTCGACGGGGCGCTCGGCCGTAGCTGTCACCCATGCCCGCCCGCCCGCTGCGCTCCCTGGCGAGGACGATCCGCCCCGCGCTCTGTTGCGCCGCGCCAGGGTCCGGGGCCGGCGAGCGGACAGAACGGGACGGGGTGGGCAGGACTGGACGGGACCACGCGTCAGTGCTGCGTGGCCGCGTCCGTGCCGCCGCTGCCGGGCGGGCTCACAGAGCGGGGTTGTTGTCTAATTAGCTGGGGAGTGTGAGTCGGACACGTGGAGGCTTTTTTCTCTTTCCCTTTGCAGCCCAGCACCCTGCCCTCTTCCCCTCCCCTTTCCCTGGGCTGTGACAGAGGAGAAGGCGGCAGCCCTGCCTTTTCCTCCCAGGCTGCCGGCGCCGTCCGGCGGGACTGGGGTCTCTCGGGGACTCACTTTAAGGAAGAGGGGCTTGCGCTGCGGGAGGAGGCGGCGGGTCACTGGGCGAGCTCCGGGCTGTACTTGCAGTGTCATAGCGGGGCCGTGTCTGCGTCTGTCGGTGAATCACCCGCCCCGTCTCTCCCGAGACAGAGAGGGACGAGAGCGGGACAGCCGCCGCCTGCCTCGCGGGCGCCTCCCGCCGGGACGCGGCGCTCGCCGCCCCGGGCTCGGCCGGCAGCCCTGCCGCGGCGGGTGTCCTACTGCCCCGCGGAGACGGCGCGGAGCGGGGCCGTCTCGGCGGGCGCGGGCTCTGCCGCGGGAGCGGGCTGTGCCCCGCGGGGATGGTGCCCGAATTCCTCAATCACGGTAGCAGCAGCGAGTCATTTCCTCTCCACCCCATTTTTTTCCCCTTCTCTCTCTCTTCTGTTTCTTTCCTTTCTCAGTGTATCGTTGCACAAGTCGGTTGCCCGGGCGAACGCTCAAAGCTGCTGCCTGGGCAGCGCTGAAGCGGCTTCAGAAAGGCGGGCATAGGGCTGCAACTCACTGCCCCGGCTGTGCCGTGCCCAGTCGAGCCGAGCCGTGCCGGTTGGGGGGAGGCTTCTGGGCTGTGGCCGAAGGTGTAAACTAAAAAATTCTGGAGCAGCGTTGAAGGCCCTGTTGGCTAAAGCAGCCACCGAAACCCCAGAGCCCTTTTCTCCTGCTGGAGGGCACCAGTAATACAGCGGGGGTTTTGCTCAGTTCTGCCGTGCCAGCGGGGCCCCGGTTGTTTAAATAAACCGGTTACATGACTAGCACCGCACTAGTCATTTTAACCTGTTCGGCGCTGAGGCCCGGCTGCCGTTGCGGGGCGGCGTTTCGGCGCGGCGCCTGCAACACTCGGCCGCGCAGTCACCGCTGGATGCCTACCTGGTGTTTACTCTCTGCGAAACTCATTTTCAAAGTGATACTTGGAAATCGAGCCACAAAACTTCCTTTGGCATGTGAGCAGTCGCACAGCTGTCTCTACGTATCACTTAGAAAAGTGAATCTCCTCCGAGCGGCGGCGGTGGCGGCGGCCGGGGAAGGAGCCGACTCCCTGGCAGCTGGAACGTGCGAGCTTCGGGAAGGTCCCGCTGCAGGCGAGGGGTGTGCGCTCGCCCTGGTGTACTCAGCGGGAGCCTCACCTGGTGCTTCCCCTAAAGGGAGGTGTGGGCCGGGGGGTTAGGGAGTGAGCCGTGGGACCTGGCAGGCTGTGAGGGCAGGGCAGCGTGGAGCAAGCAGAGGGCGAGTAGGTCGGTGAGTCTTGGGGTCCACCCGTCAGAGGCTTGGGAAAGGCCACATGCATCACGGCAGGCTGTGGAAAGCTTCTTGCATGTAGCAGTTTTCATGGCGCGTGTCACAGGCCAGAGAACGGGGTTGAAGATGTGTGGTGTGATTACCCTGGCGTACTTAAAAAGCATGTATGCTTAACAGTTTGCATTCTGGAGGTGTGTCTGTCTTGACTAACAGTCAGCCACACTGCAGCTTAATTTAAAAAGTGATCTCCTGAAAACAAGCTAACGGCATAAACCTGATTATGACAAAATAACTTTATTTTAATGTCTTAGTCACGCCTTGCCATACCACAGCATACCGTGCCATCAGATACATCACAGTTTTTAGTCTTGTAGCATGACTTTCTAGCGCTTGTGGTTATCATCTCTTAGCTGAAGGGTCAGAACTGCTGTTCATATCTTAAAAGCTGGAAATGAAATACTGCCCACCAGTGTTACAAAACACTCTCTTTTAGTTTTAATGAACTGGGTAGAGCAAGCGTGGTTTGTGAAAGGAGTAGTAAGAGACCTTTCTATCCATAGACAGCCTCTGGGGAAATCCCTTAGTCATGAATTAGGTGAGAAGCAGTGTTTCAAAAACAGTAGGAGGGACTTAGGAATGGAATAGAGGCAATAAAGTCTGAAGTTAGAGAAATGGAAAGTATAAAAGGGTTCAGTCATTCATTTTTTGGTTGCAGGATATTAAATATACTTGTCCTCAGCCCTTGTCTGTACAGACCCATAAATGGCAGGCACATTTTATGTCAGAGCTTACTGCACTTAATGGCTTTACTTAATTATAGAAACTTCTGTCTTTGCATACAGGGTCCATAGCCACATTCTCAAACAAGGTTTTTGTTGGTTAACTTTTTGTATTTAAAAACAGTGTGTTTTATTCAGGAATGATACAACTCCCCGCTCTATTAAACATACAAAAACACTAATGGTTTTCAGAATGCATGGCACGAGTTAAAGGTTTTGAACATGCGCTTGTGTAATGGACACAGCCTCTAGTTCTCTTTATTGACCAAACATTGTATTTTAATTTGAAACCTTCATTGGCTGAAAGTTTGCCAAATGTGTAACTCACCACTGATCTAACATTAAGAGCAGGTCTAAACATGCACAGTAATACGAAGGTTGCCAGCCCTTTGCTCGTATCTGTGGATACCAAAAACAGCAGAACCAGTTCAGAATACTAGAACAACAGAATGCAGAACAAAATCTTGTTGTGCAAGTTTTAAAACTTTTATCTGTGTAACCTTTGTAAGGATTGTAGTGGGGTTTTTTGTGCTTTGTAGTTAAGTAGCTCTAGTCCTCATGTTCCACTGTGTTTCCTTCTGCAGTATATATAGTAGCGATGATGATGATGAAGATGTTGAGATGTATGATCACGATTATGATGGTCTGCTTCCTAAGACTGGAAAACGTCACTTAGGAAAAACCAGGTGGACCCGCGAAGAGGTAAATCCAAGTTCAGTCACCACCTGCATGTGAAAAGATGGAGAGAGCATGCATCACGTTCTTCTCTGAGTTGCTTACCTGCAAACAAACTTCAGTGACAGACCCATGTGTAAGAATGAGGACAATACTTTTGGCCCATTAGCTGTGTTCAGTGTTTTGTTTATTTGTGAGGATCATTCTTACCTTTAATAAAATGTATAAGTGCCATTTTTTTTATGTTCACCAAGGTCTACGTTACAGGTATGCAAGTCTGTGTAATCCCTGTTGGAGAAACAGATTCAGGGTCATCTGCAGCAGTGCTTGATTGTTACTGCTGCCTCTTTTTGTTTGAAAACGGTTGCTATGTGAGAACTGACGTATGTTCACTGTCCCACAGCAGCAAACAACTGTGGCAGAAACTGCTTCAGTCCTTTTGTGCCATTTGAAATTTGCACTTTAATTGCAGCATTATGATTTGGATTGGAACTAAATTAAAAGCTGGAAGAAAGAAATCTAGCAGTGCCAAAATTGAGCATTCAAGATATATTTGCTTTTGAAGGTCAGAATGTGCTTAGTTATAATACCCTTGTGCTGACTTACCAGGTAAATTGTGGTATCAACCTCCTTTGCCAGGTAGATATCCTGTAGCCATTTAAATGGTTCAAGTTTATTGTGAAACACATTAATACAGTTCTTGAGTTCTGTTTTGACTTTCTCCTCTCTAACAATGTATAATGATATGTAAACAGTGGCAGGTGACCTCTTGCAAGGATTTTTTGGTTTGTTTTTTTTAATCATAGTCTACTCTCAGAGAGGTGGATGTGGTTGTGATGTGGCCTGGGAGGAAGGGATAGTCATGGAGCCCAATGGCCACTGTCTTGTCACATGAGCTGGGTATGGGGGGCCTGTGATCAGGGAAGGGGGTGATTGCTCCTCTCTTCTGATGGGGCAGTTCTTGCTTGTTTTATACTGTATCAGTCTTTCCCAGCACAAGATTGGTTTTGTCATTAGAGTCTGTATTTCTGGACTTGTCATTAAAAATTGCTATTGCAGGTGCACACAACTCCCTCACAGTGATCAGGAGCAAAAAAATGCAATTAGTTTTATTGTGCATTCATTATACATAGATAGACAATGAGCTAATTACTGGAACTCCTATTACTTTCAAGACATGTAAAGCTTAAGTCTGTGATTTTCAGAGGTCCCAGGATGGCTAGGTGCCTGAGTGTTACTGAATTTAATTGTAATTCTGATGCCTGGCATCTAAACATCCATGCCCTCCTGTAAATCCAGTACAAGAGTAACAGTTACATTGCTTTGAGCAGTAAAACAGACATGTAGAAATGCGAGTCATGAAAGAGCCCGGAAGTCAGTCTTTCTCCTGCAGCACAGGAAGGGACCTACCAAAATCCACAGTCATAGAAAAAAAATCTTGATTTAGGCAATTCAAAGTGTGAGAAGACTACAGACCATGTCCCCTTACACTCAGGAATCAGAAATAGCTGCGAAAATATCTAGAAGGACAAAATTTTTATTTTTAAGTATTTAATTTGCATTATGAGAGATTGCAATATTGATTATATTCGGGTTTTATTTTTAATGATTCAGGATGAGAAATTGAAGAAACTGGTGGAGCAGAATGGCACAGAAGACTGGAAAGTCATTGCCAATTTCCTTCCTGTAAGTGGATTTTGCTTTCTGTTTCCAGTTCTAGTGACAACTCTTTATCAGAGGTTTCCAAGTAAGGGAAAGAGGAGTGATAGCTCTATAGTTACAGTTTAGTGGGAGATACAAAACCTCCACAGATGGATAGCTCAGATGTTTAGTTAGAATGCTGTGGAAACCCTGAACTTCAATTTCCTTTCACTTCTCAGAAAAGGTTGGAAAAAATCAAACAAGCAAAAGTAGGGGGTGGCAGAGTGTTTCACAGTAGAAGCTTCTTAATGTAACACTGAAACAAAATGTCTCAGCGCAGAGAAATAAATTGCTTTGGTGAATTGCAAGTATGCTTTAGAAGATAATTTCTTTTTGAACACTTTGGCTGTTGTAGAAATACTGCATGTGAAAGCACAACAGCTACTGTGCAGAAGGCAAAGATTCAGTATTGATAGTTGAGCACCTTTTCACACCTGTATCACTCCATGTGTTTTAGTAGTCATAGTTGGCAGTGAAGTATGTCAGGAACAAATGTACCTAGGTGGGAGTGTTATCACTCTGTGTTCATCTTATCTAAAGAATGGTCTACTTTGCATATTTTCCATTTCTCTAGAATCGGACAGATGTGCAGTGCCAGCACCGATGGCAGAAGGTGCTAAACCCAGAACTTATTAAAGGCCCATGGACTAAAGAGGAGGATCAAAGGGTAATCAGTTTTCCTTTCTGTCTGATTATGACTCACTAGTGAATTTTATGTGTTGGGGCAAACTTCTAGAGACTTTGGTGGTCTCAACACTAATAGAGCCAGAGGGAGACCAATCCTATCAATATCAATGTAGTGCTAAGTTTTCCACACAAATTAATTAATGCTGCTTTACAGCACTGTAATGTAGGGTTGCAATTTAGAAATGCCTTAACTATTACCAGATTTTTCCTTTCAGGTAAAAGTATGAATGGGAAGTGGGGAACCTTAATTGTGTGTTAGTTTTACTGTGGCAATTTTGAGAAATGTTGTTGAAAATATTGCTCCACCACAGAAAAGAATCATTGATTCATTTTGCATCGTTAAATACCAGCAGTTTTTATGTCCTTCTCTGAAGGTAATTGAACTCGTGCAGAAATACGGTCCAAAGCGCTGGTCTGTCATTGCTAAGCATTTGAAAGGAAGGATTGGAAAACAGTGCAGGGAGAGGTGGCACAACCATTTGAATCCAGAAGTGAAGAAAACCTCCTGGACAGAAGAGGAAGATAGAATTATTTACCAGGCACACAAGAGGCTGGGAAACAGATGGGCAGAAATCGCAAAGTTGCTGCCTGGACGGTAATGACATACACCTTTAGCTCTTAAAGTGTTAAAAAGGAAAAAGCTGCAGGTCTGAGCAGTCCGTTTCAGTTGCCTCAGGCCGCACTTTATAAGTTGGAAAATTGTGGAATCAAAACCTGGAAAGCCAGTGACATCGGTGTGGTTTTTCTCAGTGGGGAACTGTGCTGTTTGGTCGGTACGTGGAACAGTACACTATTTTGGCATGCTTTTAATATTTGCGATAGGTAAAAAAAAGAGCTAGCAAGTAGAGCAAGACCATAAGAATTTCCTAAATGTCTGTGTGTCTTATTTGTGCTTGCAGTAACTATCAAAATTTAGATTGATTTAACTGGCAAGGATCAGGCTCTGGTAGTGGAATGTAATTTACATTCGGCTAAAGGTATACCTCTAACATGAAATCCAGTCTGTTTATTCAAAATAATTTAAGAGAAGGCTGCTTCAGCATTTGCAATTGCTCCTGAATCATCCAGATGATTTTGGCCTGTTCAAAATCCATGAGTAAAACAGGAGAAACTGACTTCCTCGAACTTTGGTCCTGGAAGTATTCATCTTATTGAAAGCTTATGCACAGCTTGCATATAATTTCAGAGTGTCAGTGTCTTATTCACTCTGTAGTAAAAGTGACTCAACATAAAGTGTAGTCAAGCAAATAATGTAAGCAAGGGGCAGGTTTCCTTTCCCATTTTTATTCCTGATATTCGGTGAAACATTGTCAAGGCCTAAATATAATGCTGAGATTGCGATAGTCTTTTAAGCGGGCATTCCCTAGGCTGCTTGCACCTTCTAGAAGAAAAGAAGAAAGGAATTACCCTCTGGAAGGTTTCTTTGTAGCTTCCACTTATCACAGATACCACTTTTGATGATACTGTGTGGCGATGATGTTTTTCAAATAGCTGTTTCCAAGCTCACTCTTAAAATCTCATAGACTGAATAAGTTTGCTTTTTCTCACTCATGTATATGAGAATTTGAATCTCAGTTTTTCTGAAGCTATGAAAAATCCCAACAGCTTTGTTTACTGAATTTGTGTGTATAGCACAATGTTGTCATTGTCTAGGTGACCAGTTGGAAAGTTGCTTGGAAGTCAGTCTTTTCACAGCTGTTCTCCACATTCTTTTTTTCCAGTAATGAGATAGAATAAAACTCCACTCTAATATTAAGGCTTAGGAAGATGATGTTGGCAGTCTTTTAGGGTAGCCTCAAGGGGATGTTAGCCTTTGCTGTCACTTTACCTCATGGGAATGAGGTGAAGCTGGAGTTATTAATTTCTTACAGTTTGAGGACCTAAGGCTTAGGGATTGTTTTAAAAAGTACATAAACAAACCATTTTTCTTTTTCCCTACCTTTTATACTGAGCATCTTTGAGAAGTCTTGAGTAACATTTGTAAAGGTAGGGGCAGGAAGAAGGTCAAAGACTAGCTCAAGGTTTAAACAGAAATGCCAACAGCAGCTTCCTGCCTAATAATCTGTTAGAATTGCAAATACTCATTTTTAAAACACATGAATTTCTGTTGCAGAACTGATAATGCTATCAAGAACCACTGGAATTCCACCATGCGCCGCAAGGTTGAGCAGGAGGGCTACCTGCAGGAGTCCTCCAAAGCCTGTCACTCCTCAGCAGCCACTGGCTTTCAGAAGAACAACCACTTGATGGCCTTTGCTCACAACCCACCTTCTACACAGCTGCCAGTTGCTGGCCAGCCAGCGCTGAGCAATGACTACCCCTACTACCACATTTCTGAGCCACAAAATGTAAGCTCCTGAAATTGTTTATGTCTGTGGGGGTTATTTTGCTTTGTTCAATTTAGCCATACCTGTTTTCAGGAAGCATGAAGGATTTTCTCCCAGTTTTGGTGGACTTGTACGTGTTTGATGTCAGGTGAGGTCTTTGACTTCATTCAGTGGTAAAAATACGTGCATTTCAAATTGATTGCAGGCATTCAGGTGATGGAATCAGGTTCAGCTTTTTCAACGTCTCATAGGCAGTGAAAATGTTCCTACTACTGTTTCTTGTACTGGTGAATATTAGATTTCTTGAAAATCAGTTGAATCTGGTTAATTTTGTGTTCTGTCTCAAAATCTCTGATGTTCCCTTTAGTAGTATTCTGTTTGGGGGTTGCCTGTTGGAACCAAATAAACAAGTATTGGTTTTAATCTGATTTCTTTTCTATTAATGATTAATAATGAAACGGGCTGCTACTTCGGACAGCTCCATTGAAGACTTTTACATGATAAAAATTGCATCTTTTGCATTTTCACTTCAATTTAGAAAAATCTTACAAGTGTATCTATAAATTACTCTTCTTTTTCAGGAAGGGTGGATATTTCATATATGAATTTTCTTTCTTCCTCCGTAATGCTCACTGTCATATTCCTAAAAAAACTGTTTTCTTGTAAACATTTTTTGGAGTGGGGGGCTTTTTTTTGCTATTTTGTTTCCATAGATTATAAATATTAAGGATCTAAAATCAAAGTATGTTTAACACAAATTCATAATGCCGGGAGGCAATATGATAGAAATAATAACTTTTAGTGTCTTTTGCTTTTCGGCCTAGGTCCCTGGTCAGATCCCATATCCAGTAGCACTGCACGTAAATATTGTCAATGTTCCTCAGCCAGCTGCTGCAGCTATTCAGGTAGATAACTTGTACCTCACTTCACAAGTCAATTTGTTAAACATTTGCTAAGTCAAAATGCAGACATTGTACATTAAGGAGACATTTTAATGTAACAAGTGTGATGAAAGAAAATGGGGAAGGTGGGGGAGTTCTAACATGGCTAATAATTGCTTCTTCTGAAGTGGATTTAAAACACAGTAGTTGACATCTGGTGCGAATGCTTTCACTTTCTCCATTTCAAATGTCTATACTGAAATTCGGCAGGGACTTTGGTAGTGGAAAGCACAATTGAAGTTTGTTTCATCTTTGAGTCTAATTTGGCTATTATAACCACAGGACGGCAAGCCATAAGCATTTTAGTTGCTACATCCTAGCAGACCTTTATCTTTTCTTTTCCCTTAACTCTTAATTTCAGAGACACTATAATGATGAAGACCCTGAGAAAGAAAAACGAATAAAGGAATTAGAGTTGCTACTAATGTCGACTGAGAATGAACTGAAAGGGCAGCAGGCATTACCAGTAAGATTGTCACTGTGTGCTTGGATGGAGGGATAGCAGCATTACCCCAGTGCTTGTCTTTTTAACTTTTTACTCCCCATCTGCCTTCAATACTAATCAAGGCTCTATATTTCAGTTTTTAAAGGATGAAACATAGCACATATAATCTATATTTGCTTTGTAAATTATTTAACTGGAAAAAAAAGCAAACAATTCACAGGTATTTTACTTCACAAAGTAGGTGCAGGGCTGGGCTCTGTAATGTGGTGTGATACTGGAAACATGAGGATTGTACAAAAATAAAAGATTCCACAGATCTGAAATCAATGGGATCTGCATTTCAGAATGTGTGCAATGGTTCATGCAATGAAAATGTAGTGCCTGTGTATTAGATTCTCCTTCTCTATTGTACTCTTTCCTCCAGCTGTGTAAGCTTTGTAAGCTTCAGACTTGATGCATGTTTGACAGTTTGTTTTACTTCTCCCAGTAATGTTAGATTATTCATAACTGCATGTGCAGAGCAATTGCTGGCTATTACTGAAGTCTCACACTTGGTTGTATATGCTACTGGATGTTAACTTGTGAAAATGCTTATGTAATGACTTAACACCATCACCAAAGCCAAGAATCCCAAAATTGTTTTTGAAGATAGGTGATAGCCAGCAGATTCTTTTTTTTGTTCGTTTATTTTTTGGTTGTTTTTTTTGGTAGTATTTAAATTAAAAGTAAAAAAAAATTGCATGCATGATACGTTAGTTTGGCCACTTTTTAACTTTAGTTAATGTTTTGCAATTTCTTCTGTTGCATGATCACACTGGAAAGAAACTTCTGTTAATTTGTTCTTCTGCTTTCCTAACCATGTTGATTTGACAGCCTCTTCATTGCATTGGTGTAAGCTGTAGCATTAGACAGGGATAGAAGAAGAAAAGGAGATAAGCAAACAAAAGCAACTCTAACTCTCAAACCTTTTAGCCTTCTACAGCGCTGAGCGCTCAGTAGGGAAATCCTGCCGTTTCTTGCTTCTCACAGAAAATGACTTGCAGACACTTTGAGCTTTTGGAGTAATACAGAATGAGTTGATTATGTGTTAGTAATGAGATACGCTTATAATCCTGGAAGTAAATTATGAGGTAACTTTGGGATAACAAATACAATGCTGATATTACTTAAAACGAGATCTTGCACTGATGAAAGGAAACATCTTGACAATTGTTTCATAGGCATAAGCTTTTAGATGATGATGCAACTACTTTTATCTTTCCTCCAGTGGCATCTGACACCTTGTGCAATTTCATTGCTAAGTTCCTTATGCCTTCCCCCCCCCTCCCCCCCTTTTCTTTTTTGTTTTTCCTTCTTCCTTTAGACACAGAACCACACATCAAACTACCCCGGCTGGCACAGCACCACAGTTGCTGACAGTACCAGGAGCAGTGGTGACAATGCACCTGTTTCCTGTTTGGGGGAACATCACCACTGTACTCCATCTCCACCAGTGGATCATGGTTGCCTACCTGAGGAAAGTGCATCCCCTGCACGGTGCATGATTGTTCACCAGAGCAACATCCTGGATAATGTTAAGAATCTCTTAGAATTTGCAGAAACACTCCAGTTAATAGACTCCGTAAGTAGACTTGCTGCCTCAGGTGGATTTGTGCGTGGTCAAGGAGTAAGGGGAGAGGACCTGGGACTGTCCTAAATGTGTTTCGGTTTTTTTTCTGAGTAGCTTCTAATTGCCACAGGATCTGAAGCTTAGCTTCTAACATAACAAAATGTGGCTGCTCCTAAATGAAGCCCTCAAGTGTGGTTGCCTATGCTTTTTGTGGGTGTCTCCCTTTCCTGCTATGTCTCTGTATGGGAATGTGATTTTTAGCAAACTGCACAATAGGAACTTGAAACAATCTCTTGATATTGAGTCTCCTTAAAATGAAATCAGAGACACCATGAAAAATTTTAAACAATTAAATAATACTTACAGTTGAAATGACATATGCCATAGATTTATGTGTGGTTGCTTGTGTCCACAGCATTATCTAGAAGTTTTTGTTGTAGCTTCAATGGCTGCTTCTCAGAGTTTAAGGAGCTTGCCCTGGCATATGTGAAGGACTAGAAACATGGATTTTAAATGCCAAGTGGCTGACTAACATTGACATAGGCCTTTTCTCATGGTGGTCTTTGGGATACTAGATGCAACAGAAGTGGCACGTTGAAAGGTTTGTTGGTGGCACCCTTCTTCAGCAGAAGCAGAGGTATCTGCTTTATGCAGCATCACATCCCAATTAGCACACTCAGAGCAAGCATGCGGTCTAGGAGGAGAACAGTCTTGATTTAGAGCCCAAGGCATACATTTTTTGGTAGCAAAAGGCACTGTCTTCATAACAAGCAGAAAACCCTGCTCATGTAGATAGTAAGGACATAATTTGACTCACTGTTTCTTTAATGACTCAGTTGCCAGCAACACTGCTAGGCTGTTTGACAGTTTGATGTGATCAGAGTATATATTGAAAGCACAAATAGGCCTTCACAGTGTTACTACTCAAATAAACAGGGTCAAGCTGAACCGGACTGGGAAAGATTTTGTTGTTGTTGGTTACAGGCATATCCTAGCACTATATTTTCATGAGGTGGCACTATACACTGTCTTATAGCTCCGTGCCTCCCACGTTGTTTCAGGATCCTTCATCATGGGGTGATCTCAGCAGTTTTGAATTCTTTGAAGACACAGACACTTCGGCTAGCAAAGCTCCCTCAGGCAAAGTTGTGCAGCTTCAGCAAAGAAGGGCCAGTGCTTGTAGACCTCAAGGACACCCCATCACAAACTTGAGCAAAATCATGTCGAGTCAGGGCTCTCCTGGCTCACCAAAGTCCTTATCTGCCTCACAGGGCAGTGCGGCTCCATGGGTCCTTCTTCGCAAAAGGAGAGGGCACTCCGGCCCCTTAGCCAGTGGGCACAGTAGCACCTTGGTCCTAGCTGACGTCAGCAGCTCAACTCCTCCTAAGCGCTCCCCTGTCAAAAGCCTGCCCTTCTCTCCCTCGCAGGTAGATCAAGACTTCTGCACAGATGTTACTAATTCTCAAAAGTCACCCCAGCCTTAACAATTTAGAAACTAATCCTTTGGAACAAATGACTAATTGCTGTTGCACTTGTTGATTTCACTCCATGTTTGAATCTTCTCACTGCTCTTAGTCCTCATTGCTGACGTTAGATCGTCAGCAAGCTAACTGTTGATTCTCTTTTAATTTAGTCTGGAGGGCTTGGATTGTTTTGGGGTTTTGGGTTGCTTGGTTTTTATTTGGATCATTTTTGTAGGGGAATATGATTTGCTTGCTTTGCTGTTGCTGTTAACTCCTTCACCTACTAGAGTTTAACATTTCTGATCATTTGTAATACTTTCCATCTCTGTCCACTTACAGTATGATTCATTGACCTAGAAAACCCCAAACTGCATTTAAATAGCATTCAGGTTGTGAGACAAACTGACAACCACCAGAAAATTCAAATCATGGCTTGCCGTCCTCAACCCAGGCCACATGGGGTGGAGCGAATAGGAATGAGGAGGAAAATGGCCTGTTAAAATCGCCTGGCATGCACTTCCAAATTCCTGTGGATGGTTGCTTTGTTTCACAGCTGTAGCACTATTTGAAAGTGTTTGGGGTTTTTTGTTTGTCTGTTTATGGTGGTTTTGCCTTGGTTTGGCTTTAGTCCTTGCAGTCAGAGAAACACTATTTCATGAAGGATAGTAAAAGATTGCATTGTAATTATCTCCCACTGTATCTCCCATTACCTATGAGGTATTTTAATCAGATACCATTTATCCAGTGAAGTCCGTATTTTCTTACATATTTTTATAAAGTGTTTTTTAATCCAATGCAAGTTGAGTCTAGAAGGGAATACGGTGAATTGTTCTCATAATAAAGAATACCACTACGCTCACAGATTTTTACACACTAGAAATGGAAAAATTTTTTTAGGCTACTGAATAGAACATATAAAAAAGCAATTTTCTCCAGACTAATAATGCCACCTTCTTTTCAGGCTGTTGTTCCATTCCAAAACAATCCATGCAGCCATCACAGGTGGCAGTTTTCATTTTATGCTGTGAAAATGGAGGACTTTGTTTTGATAGAGATGATAGGAATTTTTTTTCCTTTCATAAACACTTTATTTACTGCCTTAAAAGCATGTAGATTCCTCTGTGAATGTTTATGTGGGTTTATTCCTGAGACATCCCATACTCATTTTCACCCAGTTCATACTTGGGCTCAGTGCTCTTAATATTAATTAATATTTATTTGTAGAAAATCCAAATCAGGCTGTTAAGATTTGGCTCCTAAAGTGGTGGAGAGTGTTTCTCTTTGCACTTTTTGGCCATTTTCTTTGTAACTTCCCTGTCTAGAAGTGCTCGTTTTGGCTTCCTGAGTGCTCCAGCCAAACTGTTGAGTATTGTTTCGCCATGTAGCCAGGTACCCCCCATCACTTATGTCAACCATAAGGAAATAATTTCTTTTTCTTTTGTTCAGTAACATCAACGTAAGAAGTCAAGTCAACCTTGTAATATGCATGTTCCTGTTGATTTTTCCTTTCCCTGCCTGCAGTTCTTAAACACCTCATCCAACCACGAAAATGTGAACCTGGACAACCCTGCGCTAACATCCACGCCAGTGTGTGGCCATAAGATGGCTGTCACCACGCCGTTCCAGAGGGACCAGACTTTCAAAGCTCAGAAGGAAAATCATGTGTAAGTCTGTTATCACATTGTCTTGTCGGATTCACGAGGGTTCGTTTCTTCAGGTTTGTACACAACCAGAGTGCTTGGTTGCTGTATGCTTCCTGCAGAGTTGTTTGCTAACACATGCTGATTTTTCTAAGTTCGGAGAAAAACTTCCACTTTATAACTGTGGAGGTAGGTTATTAATACAGAACAACTGTGCACTCAGCAGTTCTTTAAATAAAGCCATTTCACCTTACCACAGTTAAATGGATGTTCTGCTGGAAAAGCAAAATAGGGTTGCAGGAAAATATTTATCCAAGTCTTAAAACAGCTACTGTGTGTATGCACCTATTTCTATAAAGAGGTAATATTCTCAAACATGTTCCTTTAAAGTTTTTCTCCCTCTTTTTAAAGTTTCAGAACTCCAGCAATCAAGAGGTCGATATTAGAGAGCTCTCCAAGAACACCCACTCCATTCAAAAATGCACTTGCAGCTCAAGAAATCAAATATGGTCCTTTGAAGATGCTGGTAAGAAGGAAACAATGATAAAAGGTACTTTGATATTAGTGTAGAGGGATGTTCTGGGACTTGGTATAACGTTTCTTCCTTTCAGCCTCAAACTCCGACTCATCTTGTAGAAGATCTGCAGGACGTTATCAAGCAGGAGTCAGAGGAATCTGCAATAGTGGCTGGGCTACATGAAAGCGGACCCCCTTTGCTGAAGAAAATCAAACAAGAGGTAAATCTCAAACTACCTGAGGCAATTTAATTCAGCACTCTTTGCTGAGAAACTTATACCAATACCTTTTCTGTTAAATAGCTGTGTCTGTTTTTCTTTCATGTGAGCCCCAAGATCTTAGTGTCAGTTCTATATAGTATACTAGTCATGCCTAATTCATCTCCCATTGATTTCCATAGAAGTCTTTTTGCTGTTTCCAGCAGGGGTTTGCTTGGTCCGTTCTAATATAGTTTTCGTTTGAAACTTAAAAAGAAAAAATTAGATAGGAATTTGGACTGAATCTTTCTAATATTGGTGAAAACTATAGAAGAACCCTACAGGGACCAAGCTCCATGGAGTGACTTAGAAACCTGAACATTTGAGGGCATTGCATTATATTACTTTGTCACTAAAGTTCTAAAAATACATATATTCTCAATCCTTTCCAGGGGATTAAACTCCTGAATACTGACAGAGCACTGAGTGCAAGTATCCAAAGTTTTATTAGGTGGGGATTCTTCTGAGAACCTTGAACTTTTTCTTCTGTGAACAGCGGTGGTGCTTTCAAACACAGTACTATAAACATGTATTATTCAGTGCTGTGAAGAATATTTATTCAATTTATTAAGCAACTGACAGATAAATCACCTTCTGGTCAGTTAGGTACTGGTTTTTATCACAGTGCCTTTCCTGATTTCAGGTGGAGTCTCCAACCGATAAAGCTGGAAATTTTTTCTGCTCAAGTCACTGGGAAGGAGAAAACCTGAACACTCAGCTCTTCACACATGCATCCACTACAGAAGATGTGCCAGTAAGTGCAAGTTTTCACACCACCAACTGATTTTTCTAGTTTACATCGCTGTTCTGTTCTTAAATGCAAAAGAGAAAATATTTTGTATGGAATTCCTCGCAGGTCGGCATTGTTGATTATTCCCGTATCATTTTCCTGTATTAATGACAAGAAGCAAAATCCTATGCACTGATCATGATCACTGTAATGCCTATAGAAGGTAGAAGAAGTTGCAGTCATTGTGCAGCCCACAGTCTTTGTAAAGAGTCTCTGTTTGGAGGATGCCTGCACCTGTGTATAGAAATGACTAGGTCACAGAGATAAAACTGGTAAAAGAAAGAGAGTCTGTTTTGTTTTGTGCAAATGAGACCTTGTGTGAGCACAGTCCCTTTGCTTCGCCAGGGCTGTTCAGTCTTACTGTTATTCTTGCACTTGGGAGTTTTGCTGGATGAAAAACCTTTGCACTTGGCAATGCTCCCGCAAAGCCAAGTCTTAGGGACCCTCTGCTGAGGTCTGCCCCCAGGGCTGAGAGCTCTGTCTGTGACCATGCCCGGTGTATCACCCTCTGCAGTAAGGCTGAGTTTGCTTTTAATATGTTCAAACTCAGGTTGTTCTCCTGAGTGACTGAAAAATATTTGTTTTTTTCTTCTTTTCCTGTTCAGAATCTTCTTACCAGCTCCATTTTAAAGATGCCTGTGGCTGAAGAGGATGGTAGTTTTCACAAAACAGTTGCAGTACCTAGGAACAGACCACTAACTAGTCCTCTGCAGGTAACCATTCTTTGATAAATAATCCCCTTGTATATCAGTATTGCTTTTTCACAGATTGATTTTAAGTGTTGAGTGTGGAAGAATGGTATGTTTAGAAGATGGTGGCTGAGGATCTCACTGTACCTGTGGTGTGTGAGGATGCAAAGGCTACAGCTTTGCCAAGGAGCTAAACAGGGAAACCCCAAGCATGGAGCGTGGTAACTCATCTGGCTCCAGAGCTAAATTGGTAGGACTGAACATTAACGTGGGCCAGAGGCTTTTTCCTATAGACTTGTTGTAGGTAGTCCTGCTGTTTTAGAGAGCAGGAGAGTTGAGTGGCGTGATGGTGGCCAGAGGCTGTCACTGGCCTTGGGGCAAAAGAAGAGGTTCTGGCACTGCCTGGCTGGCCAGCACAGATGGGGCCAGTATTGCTCATCCAGTCAAGCACCAGGATAGCCTTTCCCCTAGTGTGAGCTGAGGTCACACCAGAAATGTGGTTTTAACTGGTGGTCTGAAGGGGCCTCAATCATTCCAGCCAGTTGCACGTTTTGGAATTTCTGAAATGGATTAAATAGGCAAATGTTGCAATGTTAGCCAGATGGGAGGCTGGGTTTTACATACTTATGCTTTTCTCGAGTGTTAACAAATGTATAAATTTGCTGTACTTTAAAATGTGGCTGTTACATAGGGCCTGATCCAAAGGCCACCGAAGCCACTAGCAGCCTCTTTGTTGACTCTTGTGGACTTTAGAAAGTCTTTCTGTCATTCTGTGTGGCTCATAGAAAGTCATTCAGAAAATGAAAAGCAATGTAGGTAGTGATTAATTATCCTTCCACCACAACCAGCATTTTTGAGTTAGATGAATAAGTGATTTTGTAGCCTTTCCCTAGCTACAAAAATGGAGCCAAAGTGTCTCATTCCCCAGGGCGAGTCATTGTCAAAAAGGAAATTATAACTCCATAGCTCCTGACTTTCAGACAGGTAGTTCACATAGGTAATCCTTTCTTTCCTTTCTCTTTCCAGAATTTACATTAGGAATTTATTTGCAGTAGGCACGGATGAGTAAAACCAGGTTTTGATTAAGCATCCCTAGCCAGGCATTTTAAAGTAAGATAATAACTTTTAACACATCCCCGTTTGGCACAATTTGCCATGGAGTACGTTTGTATTGTGCACTGCAAAATCATTGATGAAAAGCAGTTTTGGAGGGCAGGGACTGTCTCCCATCTGCACGGGGGTGTCCACAGGGGCCAAAGACTCACACTCCCTTTTGCTCATTTGCTCTTTCTCATGAACCGTATTTCTTAGCTGTCCCATGACTGATGGCTAAGCAGAGGGTTTGAAGATCCACTGCCCTTGGGTTAGGGCAGTTGATTAGGGACTGAATTCAGACCACCTCATGGCAGAGGAGCCCAGGGCTCCAGTTTTGTAGTGGGTTGCTGGAGTTGGTGTCATGTGATGAGGCTCTGGGTCCCCATGTGTTTAGCCCCACTGACTTGCCAGCACTCCAGCACCTGGCCATGTCCCCCACCTAAATGCCAGGCTTCTCTCTGGGTTTAGGTCAACATTTTAAGGTATCTAAACAGAGCATGTTGTACATTGGCCTGTTAGTGGTAGTTGCCGGCACTCTGCCTGTAATAAAAATGAAGCATCTAAGGTGCCCGTAAAATAGGATCTTTTGATCTTTGGCATAACAGTGTTATGTTTCCTGCTATCTAAAAATAATTTCTTTACAAGCTGCTGTAAATGAAAGGGCTTGTTTAACCTTCTCTCCTCACTCATGCTGGTTTTGTTCAGGAAGTTTACACGAGTCAATTTGTGGGATCCCATTCTTCAGTCTTTGCTAAGGAAAAGCATGTTAAAAGTCAGGTATTTTCATTGTTTGGATAAAGAGGACTTATCCTTAAGTAGTAACTGAGTTAAAAAGGACTTCCCAACTCACCTCAGTGTTTAAAACATGTTGAAGTGAAAGAAAAAGCAGTTGTAAAGAGCCCTAAAAATGAATACTTCGTATGTAGCTTCTCAGTGTACCAGTATGAAGAAGGTAAAATTATTCTTTCTGCCGATGAACCATTGAGTGTTTCAGCTGAAATGTCATTTTAAATGAAGAATGAGCCTAGGGGTTTCTGTGATGGTGGCACAGACAGGTTTTTCAGAATGAAATACAGACTTTATAACAATGCTGTATTGTCTGGCAAACGCTGTGCTTTCTGATTTGGGCTCAGTGTCAGGGTTAAAAAGGAGAATCTGCTTCATCCCTGGTAAGACTGCTTGGCGTCCTACCAAAGGGGAGTTTGGCCCTGTACAGCTCAGAAAGGACAAGCAGTCTGGTTCTGTTTCACACCAGAAACTGTTTCTGCTCTGCCCCTAATACTTCTCCCCTTCCATCCCAGGGGAGATGGATGTGTGTGAGAGGACAAAGGCTATCTAAAGGGTGCAAATCAACTGGAAATGTTAGTGTTTGTGCTTGATTTTGACTGGTAGCATTTTGTATGTGACCAGTTTTTAGCATGTTCTTGTTCTATGCGTTCTACATTTTCTAGTTTTGTGTATCCCCCTCCTACATGTTCGAATGTGCTGACACACACATGAGCACTGGACTAAACCCACTGATGCCATGCAGGTAGACATTAAACGCAAGGTAACTCATCTGGGTGAAGTTTAATTGTGCCTGCATATGTTTGCATTGCTGCTGTTAATATTTTGGGCCTGATCCAAATGTTCTTACACAAATTCTCACTGACTTCAGTCCAAGTGAGAATTATAGCACTCTGCACCTTTGGATGTGTGTATGGAGAGGGAAGAGAGAAAGAGAAAGAGCACTAAACTTTCTTTTTTTATATGCTTGGTTCTTCAAATTCCATTTTCTCTTAAATTTGAACTTGCGTAAGAAGGAGGTAGTATGTTTACCAGCCCACAGCGTTTTTCATCGCTTTAATAATTTGCTCTGCATTTACATAAAGAAAAAGGTACTTGGCTAGTAATCTACTCACAAAATGCCTGATTACTTATTGCATTTTGGATACAGGACTGATCATAAGCAACTTGGTAAATAAAAGTTGATGAACATATTAGATAGCATGATATGAATCACCATCCCTTAGGAGGAACAGCATGTTGCATCACCCTGCATGTGAGGTCAGGGCTTCATCCTCATTTGATCCCCTGCGTAAGTCTCTATAAGGTGTTGGATGTAAAGGCAGCTGTTTGTAGGATCTTTCTGGGAAGGTGTGGAGGTTCAGCCAGCTTTTTTGTCCTGCATGGCAAATCTCAAGAGTTGCGCCCTCAGGTATTCTCTTACTGGTAGGAATAGGAGATGTCTCACCAAACCCATGTGTTACCTTGGGGTGGAATTACTCTTACACTCCAATGCATAGATCTCAAACACTTCTGCTTTATATTTGTGGAGTTAGTTACAAGCTGTATTTTTACACGGTCTATGTTTGTTACTTAAGCAATACTCAGTTGCACAGCAGGGGGATTTTTGCCTCACTAGCAACTTTTCCAAGAGTTAAGATTTTGGGATAACATATTATTCCCTTACCGATGATCTGTACTGAGCATTTGCTTGAATAGTGCCTTGTAAGAGGTTATGTAAAAAAACCTGTTTCTGGATCTTCCTATGTAAAAGTTATGTTTTGTTTCACATTATGTTCTGGAGCAGTTGGAGTACCTACCATGGCCAGAAAAGTAGGCTAAATCAGACCATCCACCTAACCGTGCAGGCTATCAAAAGACACCATGAAATGGAACCTTTCAAGAAAATAGTGCTGCTTTGATATCTTCTTCCCCCAGTAACAAAGGAAACAACACAGGGTAGAAGCCCTGCAAGCTAAAGAGTGTGTTCTTCAACCCCTAGCTCCTGTCACTTTCCATTTTTTAACCACAGACTGACACATTTCAGCTCAAATTTCCTGACTTTCAGCGGCTTATGTAACCATTTTCTTTAAAGAGTAGGTCTAAAGGATTTTAAAACAGTTACTTGGTTAACCTTTTCAAGGCTGTGAGCTGTCGTTAAGCTTAATTTTCTGTTTAAAAAAGTGAAATGTGGAATTTCATTTGCAGCTGGTTGTAAGACAAAAAAGTATAGGTGAGGCAGGATGCTCTCCTGCAGCAGCAGACTTTCCTCTAGTTTTTCTGGGGCAAGAAGATCCCAAAGTCTCATACTCTTCCACTGGGGGAAGCATACTCTTCCACTGCAGGAAGCACACTATGCTCAAGCCCTGGGAGGTTTAAGATCTGCACAGCAAGTGCCTTCACTTTAGCCCTCTTGGTTTCCCTCTCTTGTGTTGTCCCTTCTCTCGCCAGTGGCTGATGTGTGCAGGAGTTGTGCTTGGCACAGCTGAGGGAGCAAAAGGAATTTGGAAGTTACAGGTCAGTCCTCACATGTTTTCCTCCCAGGGCAGCAGAATTTGAGTTGCAAACAAGTCAGGATTTACAGCTGCCCCAAGCAGGCAGAAAGAAGAAAAGCGACAGCTTAGCTATCAGCCATGTGCATCTATGCCTTCTGATCAGTGAATTAAAATAAAGTTATTTATAGACAAAATTAGAAAGGGACTGAATATCCTGATGTGAGTTTCAGGTGCTTACCTATTTCTGTATCTCTTCTATTAATCTTACTTGGAAAGCTCATACATCTCAAACAGGAGTTTTGTCTGAGTAAGGGCTTCAGGGTTAAGCTCCTGCATCTCTGGTATCAGGCTTAGAGTAAAAGCTGAAAAGTTGGACCATCTTACTCTCTCACATTTAGCAAGCTGTATTTCTGAGTAATGTGTTTAGGAGAAGGCTGTCCCATGTCCCAGAGGAGAACTAGCAACATGAGCAGAAATAACGCTCTGCCTTAGCGAATGAAATACAATTCATTTATGGTCACTTGAGTTTTTAATTAGTCTTTACTGTCTGGTCTTAATAACTACAAAGATTTATCTTAGTTCTTCATCATGATATAATAGAATGACATACTGTTCTACATGATATGCACTGTATTCTGCTAGGAACTTGCTTTGTTTAGGGTGTTGATT